TTTTCTTTCTGTCCTAGCCTATCTATCTATTCTTTACCTTTTAATCCCACTTTCGCCCTATCATATCTTCCCTTTTGTTTATATTCCCCTCGTCAAAATGTGTGCCCTTTCGTGGCAAATCTAGTATGGCCTCATCACACTTGCTATTCACTCCGACCCCCCTCTTTTGAGGGGGGATTGACGAGGGATCTATTTCACTTGTCTCTTTGAGGAGTTCGTAGCTTGGTTTGGGGAATGGAAAAGCTCACTGATGATGCCGAATATGATGCCGGCGAAATGTTTGAGAATGGATCAAGTCCACTGTCAGATGCTGGGAATCATGACAACTACTATGACAGACGACTTCGGACTAGATGCGTTCTACTAAGTCGCCCTGACAACAAGACCAAGTTGTGACAACGAGTGCAACCGACTTCTATAAATCGAAAGGAGACTGCGACCGTACCAGAGGCCACAACATTTTGGTCTTCATATCTTCAATTAAACTAGGGTATTAAAATTGCCAAACAATGCACTGAATACAGCAGGACAAAGAAGACAATTGTAAGTCAATCTTCCCATCTAACTTTTTTAAACTGTTTTAAATGTTATGGTATCACTCCTAAGTTCTGTGACCTTAAGAGACCCTAACACTCGGATAAGGTTAATGAGTATCTCCACCAGGCTTCAATTCAGAATCTAAGTGAGACCTATGATACTGAACGGTATAAGTTGTTTAAGTTTATATATTAAATCAAAGCTCCGGCATGATTTGACCAGGATCCTGTCCCCGGAAGATTTTCAAAAACGCCAGAGCATTACCGACAGGAAATTACGCAGGATTTCTGACTTAATAACAAAACGGCATGATGAAAAATTGCGTAAATTTGGGATTATAAGTCAGCCTAAGTTGAAGTGGCTTCCGAGGTGGCAACACATATTGATTAGCATGAGGATAGGAAGAATTTAATAAACTTATCATCAATTCCTCTCAATCCCGAAACAACCCCTTTCCTGTAAAAAGGACTCAACCTTTCAATTCAACATCACAGAACCATTCTAGGAGACATCCTGGTGGAGGTTATCAATATCATTGACAAGTTCCCTGAGGAGACAAAACGGGAAATGGAGATGGAACTAATTCCAAAGATCTTGACCCATCAGAAGCCTACACATAGAAACAGATTTATTGTGATACGCAAAACCCTAGAAACAAATGGACAATTAGTCCTTCAGCCGGACAAAGGAGGAGCTACAGTGATAATGGAAAGAAAACAATATACCGTGAAGATGGAACATATTCTACGAGACAGGACCACATATCGTATACAAAACAAGTACCTAACTATGAAGATCAATGGAATCTTAAGTGGCATCCTGAAAGATATGCTTAGGAACGGGGAAATTGAGGCATGGACAAGAGGTTCAATCATAAGAAAGGATGCACGACCACTAAAACCCCACGGTTGTCTGAAGATACACAAAGAAGGCGAGCCATTAAGGCTGATAGCCAACAACCGGTATGGAGCAACACACAAATTGGCAAACTTTTTATATGTTTGCAACTCAAGAAATTAAATGAGTGGCTATCAAACATGGTGGAACATTCATATACATTTTCTCAAAAAAGCCAAAACATGGCATTGGAAGAAACGGACTTATAGTAAGCTTCGATGTGGAATCGATGTATACATAAATCTTTGAAGAAAATCTGCTAACGTCCCTTCTGAAAATCCTGGACCAAAAGGAGGATATCCTGTAATCACAACTGATCGGTAGGAAGTCGTTAACAAGACTAATCAACTTGACAATAAGGACCACCTATTTTACATTAAGCGGGAATATCTATGAACATATATTTAAAATTCCCATACGATCGCCGCTCTCATCACTTTGCTCAACGTATACATGAACAAAATAGAAGAGAGCTTTAAGACGGCACCGCTACAACCGACAGTGCTCATGCGGAACCTTGATGAGTATTTCGCGCTTTGGTCGTATGGAAGAGAAAAACGGGAGGAGTTTCTGAAGTTTGCAAGCCGGATTGATGAAAAAATCCAATTCACGATGGAAATAGAGGAAGGTGAGCGATTACCGTTCCTGGAGGTTAAAGTGATTCGCTCTAATGGGGCGCTCGAAACGAAATTGTTCAGAAAGATGTCCTATGCTGGGATAATACTCAATTTCCGGTCCCATCACAATTACAGGCTAAAGATAAAAATAATGAGGAACATGATCATCCAAAGCCGACGCTTAACGGATGTAGAATTCTGGGAGGAGGGGCTGGACAAATTGATGAGGATATTCCTCGGCAATGGCTACCCAATCGAAGCGATGCAAAGAAATATATGGGCCAGGACAAGCCGATGGCAGAACGGGGACTATGAAGGATTCACAAAAGTGGATATGTCCACCTTCCTGCGAACTAACTCAAAAACTACGTCCAATATTGAGTAAATGGAATATTT